TATTCGTTAATGACGCCGTCATAAGCTTCCTTTAACTGGGGTGAAGCGAGCATCCTACGCTCCAAGCTGTAGAAACGTTTTTCCGCCATTTGACGCGAATCGCCGAGAGATAAAACATCTCCTTTAAAGGGCAGCGCTACACTATATCTACCGTCGCGATCACGAACGGTCGTGCGGACGTAAATTTCCTCGCATAACCTGTCATCTGAGCTAGCTATGGGTGGGACGTTCACCTCCTCCATCTCCCAAAATTTGCGGACTAACGACTCGAGCGGTTCGACAGCCATAAGAGGTTGCCGAAATACTATCTATGATGAGGGCGGAGCCAATGATAACATAGCCCAATACGGTTTCTAGTGCGTAAGGCGCGGTATGCGAGGAGTTGCCCCTGACCTTATTGTTTAACAAAAGATGAGGGAAAAGCGATGATCCAATGAGCATGTCTATGTTTCCAGGAACGGCGTAAGTGTCGTCCGCTAGAGTCAAATTTTTAAATTCAATCATTGCCGAGGTGTCAACCGAAACGGTTGGCAACCGTTCAGTGACCCTATCTACTACTAGTGCATTTATATCAAAGTTAATATTACTATCTATCCGAGAATAAAATTTTAAATTAATATATCCCTGGGTAGCTCTACTAGTACCTCCGATGCCTTTAACTACAGGACATGAAAGTGACCTATTTATTACTAAGCCTAAGCGCTGACAACATTGTCGTGTTATAAAGCTATTTTGGGCTCCGCTGTCCAGCAGTGCACGGACGCTTTGTTCGTTTCCACGCGAATCCCTAACCAAAATACGCGCCGTACCCAGTAACACGGTTGAAGGAGGTTGTGCTCCCATATTTGCCAATGAGCACAGAGCGACATCACCCGGTCGACCGCTAGAATCGTTGACTTTAGTAGGGGTGAATTCCTTATCCGCTTTACTTGACGCCGCTATGTTGCTATTTTCAAAATGTAGTAGCGTGTGATATTTCCTGGCGCACTTGCTACATACGGAACTCGAATTGCATTTTGCAACTAAATGCATATCGCTTAAGCAGTTCAAACATAGGTTGTTTGTCTTTACTAATTTATAACGTTCGCTTGGTGAATATTTACGAAAAGTCGCACAATTATATAAATTACCGTGTTTATCTTTACATGCGATACAAGTATGCTGAAGTGATGTTGACGTAGCGGTTACGTACGTTAACGACCCTGCTATTTTAGATGGTTGAGTCTGTCTACGGTCGACGCACCTTTTAATCTCCTGTTTAACGTTCGGAGAGCGCTGCATCGCCTTTATTTGATCTCGCACGAACGATGCTAATGAATGAAAGGAAGGCATCTCCGAGCTACGATGCTCCATTTCAAACGCACGCACGGTGTCGGTGTCTAATTTCTTTAGTGCAATATGGAGAAACACCACGTCCATAAGGTCATTAAATTTTAAATTCTTAAGTGCAGCCACCGATGCCACAAATTTATCTAGAAACTGATCTAAGCCGTTGATGTTCGCGGATGATATAGGTTTAAGATCGAAAATCTGGTTCAAATATTCGGAAGGTAACATTCTCCTATCTTCATATTTAGTTTTAAGCGTTTCGAATATTAATAAGTAATTGTTTGCTGTAGGTGTAAAACCAGAGCTGATCGACTGTGCTCTGCCACTAAGTTTACTAATTAAGTAATATAATTTTTCAGCGTCCGATAACGATGGGTTATTGTGTATATTGTTTTGAAAACTACTGAAGAAGAAGGGCCACGTCTTAATATCACCATTGAATACCGGAATATCTATTGGCGGCAACCTAATTGAGTCACGAGGACTTACCTGCAATTCCGGGTTTGCTTCGTTTTGAGATTGTAGGAGTTTTGCCGTTCTTTTCACGCGACACAACATATCTTCGAATGCCAGCAGCGGTTGGTAGTTCACTATGTATTTCGGGTCGATTTGTAATTCCAAATGATTAATTTGGTCTAATATTCTTTCGTAATCCGTCCGCAAAGAATCCACCGTTTCAATTTCATTCAGAAAAGTTTCCCGCACCGCTTCTACATTAATGTTCTTTATATGATCGCTAATTTGTATACGTGAAAAAAGTACGTCCCTCTTGGCATAAAGCGTTTTAATTTTAAATTCACTTCCACTAACTGCCATTTTAAATTATTATAACAAAGTTATTAATCACAATTAATCTCACACACATAAACGATGGACGATGGACGCTCGGTATGCCGTATTACGTAATTAAATCGAACACCTGCTACAGTCGAGGTGACACGTTGCTTGCTAACTCAATGTTTTTATAAAGATTGTCGGGTAATCGTACCAAACGGTTGCTATCACACTGTTTTAATTTTAAACCTTAAATTTAACCAAATACGAGCGCTATGAAATAAACAATTCTGTTTGCGAGTACCTAATCAAAATTTAAACGAACACTATTTACACTATTTACGAACACTAATTATTCGACCAGAAAATGGTTGGATAACCACTAAACACCAATCCAAATCCTGCCCGAAGTGACCATAAAATGGTGGAGCCACGTGTTTAAGGCTGCCGAAGTCTAGTTCCCCGGTCGAACCTTAAACCTATTGCGCGAAATATTAATCTAAGTGGACTGTATCTACTAATGCTTCTACACTTATATATGCGGTACAATGCACTCGCTCTTCCCAAAAAAAACGAACTATTATTTGCCAAATCGATGAAAGGAATCCTGCTTGATTAGGAAAATACAAAATTGGAGCGGGTTAAAACAACTATATCAAGCAGGAAAATACTATTGGATATTGACTCACCGGGATGTTTCTTCTATGTGGTCGAGCACTATAACTGCGACTTCTGGAACACTCCGGAGAGAGGCGGTGCGCGACTATATCTCACACGAGGTGAGGCGGGTTTCCTGGAGCTCGACTGCTTCCAGGCTAAAGCGGTTTCTACTAGTGATGTGTTTCCAACAACGAGCTCGGCGGGAAGAGGCCACGCGTCGGTCGCGCGTGTCTTATATATCCTCGGTTCCGATGATTAGGTGATGTTCTAAAATCATCTTCTTTCCCCTCCCACCCCACCACCCCGATGTATCGATAGGAGGGTACGAATGATATCGTTTTGGAAAGGGATAACCAATTTGGCAGCCTACCGTCAAATAAAATAAATACGAATGGTTTTCCGCGCAACCAATTTTAATACCCGACGTTTCGGGTGCTTTCCAGCACCCATGGTCACGGGGGACTGAGGTGACTGACGTTCCGATGTCAAAGTTAACCCGAAGTACCTTCAGCTTTTTAATTATTGTCTTTGGTCCGATGAATGTTTAATTCCATAAACCCTAAAATTCAATTTACTATGGAGTTAGAGGCAAATAATTCCTTAGCTTTCCTAGATGTGTTAGTCATCCGAAATCCTAACAACACCATAGGTCATACTGTGTATAGAAAAAAGACCCATAGAAACCGATACTTAAATGGTGAATCTCACCATCATCCTTCACAGTTAGCTACCGTGGGCAAATCTTTGTTTCAGAGAGCACCAGGGATCTGTGACAGCAAACACCTGGCCGCCGAGCTTCAGCATGTCAAGTAGGTTCTGCACGACAACAAGCTTCGGGTCCCGCGCCTCCGTCACAGTGACCGAGGGAAGCCGGCCACAGTCGAGCGTGTGCCTGCTATACTACCATATGTCAGAGGTGTCACAGACAAGATTGGCTACATCTTGAAGCGAGCTTCTATTAGAACATTCTACAAGCCGCCGAAGAAGATTAGTCAGTTCTTACCATCCGTCAAGTGTCATATTCCTCTACAAGATGCAGGAGTGTACAACCTTGATTGTGATTGTGGTCTCTCATATATAGGGCAAACAAAGAGATCAATTAGAACCCGCGTAAAAGAACACATAGCTGACGTGAAGCATCAACGTTCCGGGAAGTCTGCAGTTTGCGATCATATTCTAGATGGCCCCAACCATTACATCAGATTTGATAGACCACAAATTCTCGCGAAAGAACATCGATTCCTACCAAGGATGATACGTGAGGAAATTAAAAAACATCCTAATTTCAATAGAGAAGGAGGCTGGGTACTACCATCTGCTTGGGATCCTATAATTAATAAAATTAAAACTAAACCCAAGCATACCACTGCAAGACTTCAAAATACAGTTAGTTCATTCTGTGTAGATCGGACCAAAGACAATAATTAAAAAGCTGAAGGTACTCCGGGTTAACTTTGACATCGGGACGTCAGTCATCTCATTACCCCGTGACCATGGGTGCTGGAAAGCACCCGAAACGTCGGGTATTAAAATTAATATAAATAAAACGCGATAAAATCCGTAAAAGTGGTTTTAATCAAAGAAGGTTATGTATTTACTTCTTGTAAATATGCGTAAAAAAACCTGCGCAGAAAAAGTTAGAATAGAACGAGATAAAATATGTTAAGGTTGTTTTATTTGCGTAAATATAAGAAATCATTACGGAACTATATTTATGAAATTTTTAAGTCTACTCGAAGTTATAAAAATATTATCAATATTAAATGGGACTGATGACTGATATGAATTAAATATCGCAATTTACACTTTACTGTTAATTAATTGAAAATCATGAAATTCGTCATTATTTGATTGAAACGAAATTAATTTTAAATATAAATGTAAAGAGTAAAATGAAAATAACGAAACTTTACCAACACGCCCGAAGACACGCGACACGTTTCTTGACATATTATGATATTAATGCAATTCTGAAAAACTTATTTACTAACGTGTTCCTGTAGCGTATTATATCTATACCAAATATCAATCATCTACGTCCAATAGTATTTGAGAATTAAAAAAATCTTTGACTAACAGAAATCGAGACACAGACACCGAGGAGACTCTAAAGGTGATCGAATATTGCTCAATTAGGAACGAAACAGCATTGAAAATGATGTTCCTAAATTGTCGCTTACGCGAGTGAAAACGCGGATAAAAAGCTAATTCTAAATATAAGCAATTAAAACTCTTACCTTAGACACAGTTGGACAAGAAATAAGCGCGAAAAATTTCAGGAACTGCTTGAAATTGAAGGTCGCGGTAATTTTGCCCATCTTATAGAATATGTTATTTTTATCGCTATGTGAGTCTACTTTCAGTCCAAAAGCACATGAAGCGATAACATCATTTGCATATCTCGTTGTCAAGTCCTTGCCCTCCACGTAAATATATTCATCTGTTAAATAAATAAAAAATATTAGTTGTTATGAAATACGAAATATCCTCTTGACGAGTTTCAAACAAATTGAAGATCAAAACTGCGCTTAGTTATTAAGTTTAGTAATTAATGCAGGACGTACTATATGCGAAAAGTCTAAAGATTTTTATAGTCCTGCAATGAATGTGGTTATGATATTTAGAAAAAACAATAAAAAATAGCCTATAATACATTTATTCCCATGAGGGACGTAAAAATGCACACATATCATTTGTTTCTTTTCCCCCTTCTAATGTTATATATATAAATATTCAGACTTAGAACAAGAAAATTAATTTCGTTAATTTTGTAAAATAATTTACTGTAAATATTAATACTACACAAATGTAAATCACACATACATATAGTCGGAGAAACTTCGGAGAAGTTTGTCAACCAAATTGGTGATACAATGAAGTTGGAATAAATTAATAGTACGTCCTTAAACGACTCGCATGTATGCGGTAGATATGAAATGGAATGTTAAAGAGTTGACAGTGTAAGGATTGTGATAAATGGAAATCCGTAGTCTTGTCTACCTATCTGAATGATAGGCAAGAGAGCTTACCTATGTTTATTGTTTTAAAATGTTGTTATACAATTCTTCATCATCATCATCATCATCTACAGTTTTGAATTTGGAATAAACCTACATTCCACGTGTGAATTTGACGAGAAGTCCCTTGCTTTTACACACAAAAATCCATATAGTTCTGATCGTGAGCCACTTGCATGCATTAATTCTCTTTTTTCTATTTTTGATCGATTAAGATCAACATTAAAGGTCTATTACCAGTATATTGTTCACTTGTTCTTATGAAAAATCGTATAAAATATCAATACCGTATTTTGTACATACAAATAAACTCCTAACACAAGCGTTTCAAGCTTAGCATGAGTGGTTAAAAGGAATATTAGTAACGTCAATTAATAAGATTACTTATAGTAAAAAATAGTTTTCTAACATAATTTCAAATAACTTGACGTTGTATTTATTTCAAATTCACACAAAAATATTTTTGAAATATTGTTCGAAATAACATACAGATAAATATTATTTTTTTTTTTATTTTTTTTTATATTTTGGTATGAGTAAGGAATAGAAATACATAAAACATAAAAATATAGATATTTCCAAACATTTCCATATAAATTTCTCCAAAAACAAAAGTGTAGAATTCAAATTAGTAGTAATTTTGTCACTAAAAGTGAAGTATATACTACTATTATGCTATAAAGGGTAATTTATGAATTTCATTAAAATTTCTAGCCACCAAAAATAATTTTATCCGATAGTTTATACATTCAACAAGAATTCCTGTAAGTTTTATCCATAAATATTGTCTCAAAGTGAAAATATAGCAAAATTTGCAAGTTAGCAAAAAATTTGCTAACTTGCAAATTTTCCCGCCATTAAGGTCCCGAGCGAACGGGAGTATAACTTGTCGCGAGCTGTCAGAGCTTACGGGTTAAAAAAATCGAATTATTTACGAGTAAAAGCCGTACCGTGTAGTGACGGCGTAAGAAAGTGAAATTAGAAGAAGCAACTATAAGAGAGCAAATTCTCTATAGAAGAGGAGATGCCTATTTGTCCAGCAGTGGCATTTTAGGGGATGATAAAGAAGAGGAAATATTATTTCACCAAGCTATTTATATTAAAATCCAATCCCAAAAGAATAGAGAGTCAGTAAGTTTCAGGTCGTGAGTCATTTCATTTTAGTTCTCAGAGGTGACCACACATATGTAGCCTTTTTGTTTTAATTTGACTGCAAATGACCATGGACTACAGCAGCCGCTTACAATCATGTGAACTATTAGTTCATATCACTTAAATAATTTTCCAAAATGTGTACAAAATAGCAGAGGAATAGTTTGTGAGCATCTATCTTACCCGTACTGAGATTAGTGAGTATTTTTTATAGAATAAGGGTGACTAACAAGCCTACACTCCAACTGATGGTAAGTGGATGCTGTGGCCCATAGACATCTTTGTATATCCTCGATTAAGAATCAAAACGCAGACGCAGTGACATCTCGGAGGACTAAGAGTGCCTCGTTTCCGACATACCTTCTCATCACGTATATCTCAAAACGTTAAAATGAAATTGTTCAAACAGTTCAGGTTTCCGGCGATGCCATATGGATATGTGACGTGTTCCTTCTGATAGCTGTATGAGGAATTTGAGGTAGCTTAAGGTCGCTCTTAAATCGACAACCTATGGGAAAGAAAGATTCTTCACTGGCAGTCTGGTACCGGTGACCGAAGTTTGAGGTAGCCCCCCAATAGTTTGTGTGAGGAACTGGTAAGAGATATAAGAAGTTGATGGATGCAGGTGGTTTAGGATCGTCCTTTGCAGCGTTCCACGTGGTAGGTATATTTTTAGGCGTGGACTTGTGAAAGGCTGTAATTATGATAAATTATCAAGAACTGGCTTATAATAAGTAAAAAAGTGTCTATTAAATACCTGAAGAACTCTGAATCTCTTTCTTAAGTGACTTTATCATTTGATCCCCAACTTCGACCATAAATGGAACCATCAAACGCATCTTAGAGCTCGTGAATGCAGGACTTAATGTTGATCGCATATCTTTCCATTCTTCGCCTTAAAAAAAAAAATAACAAAATAATTACATGAGTACTTCATAGACAAAGCCTCAGGCACCTGGCTTAAACTGGAAGAAACATGCAATGTGCGTTTATTAAAACAGTTTAGTATAACATTCCATGTTTCTTATATTGCTTGTATTTTGTTTCAGATTTTGTGATTCATCTGTCAGTGATGCTAATAAATGCTAATAAATAAATAAGAAAAACAAAAAAAAAAACATAGAATATCCAGTAACAGTAGTTACAGAACAGATGTTAATGTTATGGTCAATAAAATAAATAATTAAAAAAAAAATGATTTTATATATACTTTGACCGTATATGTTTGACTATATATTAATTTTCTTTTTTACTTAAAATTTTAATTTCATTATATATTATATATTCATAATATATATATATATATATATATATATATATATATTCAATTATTGAGTTTTTCCGTCAAGAAAGTCTCAGTAGCTGCCCGGAGTCAGGAAGTTGGCGGTGTCTTACCCCCGTGCCTCGGAAAGCACGTAAAGCCGTTGGTCCTGCGCCTGATCTCTCTCCGGTCGTGTCGGTTTACCGTCTCATCGGATTATCAGAGTGAGGGAATAGAGAGTGCACCTGTACTTGCGCACACACTATATATATATATAGAGCGAACTTAATGCTACATGGCAGTAAGTCCGCCCTACGTTCCCTTTAGCTTAAGGTGTTGCATTTAAGTTTAAATAAATAAATATAAATATTGACTATAGTAATTAAGATACCTTTCAATGAGAACAGATTCCTTCCAAAGAAAGGATCAACATTCTCGTTAACAAGAGAGCGATGGTCAAGAAAGTGTTCGAAATCCTTCACCGTTATTTTCTTTATCAGTTCTATGTCTCTGATCATTACCATAGGACTTATAAATTCAAACCTTCCTACGAATCTAGAAAAGAGAAAAATAAAATTGCAGTTAAGAGTCATAATGTCCAATGATATTTCTGCTTTTATTTATTATCATTAAACAGTAAGCTGTCCATTGACATGAGTCTTTCTTGTAATTGTAAAAGTTAATTATAATAGCCATGACTGGCTGATCGATTGACGCTCGCATTATACATAGTATACCGTATTCTAAGTGATCAGAAACGAAGACCTATTTTTCTGGTAACGAGACATCCAGTATTAATATAGATTTCTACAATCAACGAAAACTATTTACCATCAGAAGGCCTAAATTCTCATTTATCTCCTGATAATGATTCAACGTTGTTTCGAACTATTATGATAGCTTCTCGGAGCTCGCGCGCGGCTAAATTTACAGTGTAGCAGCCGGAGCTGCGTTCGGGATCTATATGAAGATTCCTCGTTGACCTGTTTTAGACGGTATGAGGAGCCACGTGCCGGATTTCCTTGCAGCACATCTGGCTTCTTCAGGATCTCATGTACTTTGAGATATTATCCGAGGTAGTCTTTGTCATAACCTTACAATATTTAACGGCTCCGTGGCGCAGTGACGGAGCCTTTAAATATTATAAGTACAATTACAAATATTGTTCTGCGTCTGGATGTTTGTCCTTCTGCAATTTATGTTTGTAAACTGCCTTCACGATACAGAAGAAAATCTAAGTGTAACGCTTAAAAAACATTTAAAAAAATTGGCAGGCTCTCAGACAATATGGTACAAAATGTCTACAATTAGAAATAAGTATTAAGATTTTCTTTAAATAAAAGTGAAGTGATAAATGAAATTAAAATCCACTTAGCGGTCCGTGGTAGGTAGCTTTTGCTGCACATAGATGTTTAGAACCAACTTCAAAAACAGAAGGCAACATATTTACTGTCTTCAGAGCTGACAGCGAATTTTTTGCCTTAGGACTGACTACTGAACTAAGATGGAATGCTTCACAGCCTATAATTATACGGGATTTGTATACCCTTCAGATCGCAAAATAGGAATGCAAGAACTGATGCTTGTCAGCATAAATGAGTAATAGGTAGTATACCCATATAGATTCCTCGGCAGAAAGGGAGTTCAACCACTCGAGGTGTTGGTAGGTGGAAGGCTTGAATCTTAACTGCCTTGAGGGTGTAGTGGTCGTAAATGCGGTTATTGATCATGAGAGGGTTCGGATCTCGAGTCGGGCTAAATTCAATTTTCTTATTCTAAAATCCGATATTGAATTTTTTTCAATAAATATCCAGTAGCAGCCCAGAGTCAGCATATTGTTGGGAAAGTACGTAAATTTTCCACGTGGTAGAGCCATGCTGCATTTATATTAGTAGTATAGTTATAACACGAATGGGTCGGCTCGACCGGGGAAGGACTACGCTCGCACAGATTACCAGTGTAAAATTAATTAATTATTGCTTCTGTTTCGTATGGTGAGTGTAGAGGAACCGGAGATCCTTTTTACTAGAAACGAAGCATTCTATCTTAGTCCTCACAGCTGACAACGCATCTGTATTTTGATTTGTAATCGAGGATAGATGTATATTTCTATGGGCCACAGCAACCACTTACCATCAGGTGGACTGTGTGCTCGTTTGTCACCCTATTCTATAAGAAGAAAACTGTTAGTTCTGTCCCTAATCCCTCTCTTGCCGTCCCATCGCACTATTAGATTTAGGGAATCACTCGGACACTATAATATTGTCTTGTGCAGATAGAGGCTAGCCTCCGTTGGAATTGGCCTACCGTAACTGAACATGCTATTGTGGACATTATGCTATGTACTATATAATATTACCTCTCTTCTGGAAAGGCGTTGTAAAGTCTTTGCGTATCGTCAGAGAAATGGTTCATGCGTAGCATAACCCGAGTCATATTACCAAGAATTGGTATTGGCTTGAATTGCTTAATTCCATATCTGCTGAACCTGGTGTACAACTGACGGAAGTAGATCGCCAAGGCGGCTAATATGACCACCGACCAAATCACAAGCAACATGACCTGATAACAAAATTGATAGCGTAATTCAGTTTCTAATATGAACACTTAATTAATTCCTAATTTTACGCGAACACTACATATTGAATAAAACTATTGTTTACTGGTTTTATCGCGTTTAATTACTACTTTAATTTATTTTTTTACCATCCCGACGTTTCGGGTGCTTTACAACACCCATGGTCAGGGGGAGACGGAGATGTTTGACGTCCTAATGTCATAGTTAGTCCGGCTACCTTCAGTTTTTTAAATATTAATTTTTGGTCCGATTTACGCAAAACGAGCTTATAGTATCATGAAGTCTTGCAGTGGTATGCTTGGGTTTGGGTTTAATTTTGTTAATTATAGGATCCCAAGCAGATGGCAGCACCCATCCATCTTCTCTATTGAAATTGGAATGTATTTTAATTTCAATAGCCTCGCGTATCATCCTTGGTAGGAATCGGTGTTCGTCGGGATGATAAAAAAAATTAAAGTAGTAATTAAACGCGATAAAATCCGTAAATAATAGTTTTATTCAATATTAACACTTGTTAAAAGTAAAATCTAAGTTACGAAAAATAAGAAACTAATTTTCGCATAAAAGCTTCTAAAGTCGCTCCTCAGACAATATTTTTATCAGAATTATCTATTGCCGCGATTACTTCCGCACATAGATTTAACAAATATTATATTATAACAGTATTTGTTGAAGAAGAAGTTTATTTTTTTAATTTATTTATTCTTTAATTGTATCACCTTACAACTAAGGTAACAATGAGCGGACTTAATGCTTCTCGGCATTTTCTGCCAGTCAACTAGTGGTGAACTATTATGGCAGATGTAAACTTGCTTTATGATCTTTGGAAAAAAATAAAAATATATATAAATAGAAGTTCAGTTATTGAAAACCAAAATGGTTTACTGTACATTTTTTTATGCTGTTATCTCTAAAGCTTTATGAAGTGTAATTCTTTTAATTAATAATTGAAGATTTATTCCTTTTACGTAAAAAAGATCTTACTACATTGTCCTACAATCCTCATAATAATTTTGTTGGCATAGAAGTAAATAAAATTAAAATCGATTATTCATTAAAGTTGTAAGAGATGGAAGTGAAGCTGGCAAAAAAATTGCAAACAAAAAAAGTTTTATTTGAAACTTTTTATATATCTCATATAGTTAAAGAGATTGTCGTCAATAAACACATATTTTAGATTTAACAAAAAAAAATCTTGTACGTTTTTCGAATAAAATACTGGCCTAGAGCACTCCTGGTATTTTTATTTGTTCGTGAAGTTTCATCACAGTATGTTTAGCCATTTCGAAGTTTAGTTAGACAGACAGACAAGGAGACAGATGGATAGACAATCAGGCAAATAAACATTTTTAACTTCCCAGTGGGAAGTTATTGTAATGAGTCCGATTTTACAAATTGGAAATTTTAACATATCTCCACGTTTCAAGATCTTTATAGTCGAATAGTATGGTTTTTAAGAGGATGCCCGTGTGTGAACAGGTACGTTAATATTTATGTATGTATGTATGTTCGGATTCAAGTTTTGCCTCGTGTATCTCGGGAACAAAGAGTGATATTGACACAAGATAAGTTCCTATTAACTTAGTAAGTTTACGTTAGTACTAAGTTTATTATGTAACTTAGACCTCATTAAATTTTGAGCAAAATCGGTCAAGTCGTTTTTTGTGGCGAATGAAAAATTGTACCAAATATTAAAAAATATGATATTTTTTTATTCTTTCCACCGGGAAGTTAGTCGTGTGGACCTTTCGGGTCGCACCTAGACCGCTTTTAAAAATGTTTATTCATGTTTTCAAAATCCAGGTGTTTCTATATTGCTCAAATTTTTTTATATGTATATAATTTGTTGAACGACTTCTTGATACTACTCTCTTTACAATTATTTAACTTGACAAATCCAATTAGAGTAAAAAAAGGCTAGTATCATTTTTATTTTTAATCTTTATGGTTCTATAAAGGTGGTATTAACTTTTTATTAAAAGTTTGATTTTTTTAACCCTTTTATGCAGACATAAAAATATTATTAGCTCAAGTTCAAATAAAATTGTAAACGGTCAAAGATCATTTATATTTATAGCGATACTGTGCACATTTACCTCATTGAATTGCAAAGTGTACATCCGTGACGAGCACTGAGAAATTTAATTATGCAAGTTATACACGCTTACGTGCTTTGTTAATGAAAGACGACGTGGCTTTACTACTTATTTAAACTTTGACTAAGCTGAGTAGGTCAAAATTTTTATTTCACAGACATGCAATTTTCATTACGATATTTTCTTTTACCACCGAGCACGTGGTAAATCAGCATTAAATCGCAATTATCAATTTAATTTGCGCCGATGGCTCAAACCTGGGTTGCCTGCTTACTGTGAAATTTACAGCGAGCGTTAAGCCTCTGAGCTACCACGGCTCTTTGCACTAATTCTGTTTTTGTTAACATATGTTTATCGCTCTCACGATACAAATAATTTGTAAAGGTGCTAACTGTCAAATAAAGTTAAAAAAAAACAACAAAAAAATAGGTTCTACTTTTTTGAAATACATATCTATTTTACAGCTTAAACTAGCTGGTCGGAAATCGTTCATTGCGCACAGAGGCTGGTCGCTCGATGAAATTAACATCCCATATGCAAAAAATTCAACTTTAACCTTCGATCACAACCACCAGATCACCATTTTAGCTATCCAAAGCTACCCTTTCAAGATGCAGCAAGCAAGCACAGCCTACCTGATGGTAATAATCAAAATGCAGATGCTTTGTCAACCCTAAGGACTAAGATTAACTCGTTTTTATGAAGGGTATCCAGGTCTCTACACTGACAAACGAAACACAGCAGCATTAAGCTGCTATTTTACATTGGTATTCTGAAACTATTAAATCGGTGAAGAAGTGAATTAGCTAGGACCCGTTTCTAAAATAAAATTATATTTTTACGTAGTGTTATATCGCTGTTATAACCATAGGTCATAACTAAGCCAAACGCAAATCTTAGTTATTTAATTTCACATCGAAACACGTAAATTTAATTGAAATGTCTGTTTAATTTTATTTATGTGTATACATATCCAAATGATGATCCTAAAATTATATATACATGCCAGAAGAACATGAATAACCATTTTTAAATTTGTTACTTCCCGCTATGAAAATCAATGATTTTAAATAATCGAAAAGTATTGAAATAATACTAGTTTTTACGGAATTTATCGCGTATATTTAACTTTTTAAATACCCGACGTTTCGAGAGCTTTACAGCACCCATGGTCACGGGAAGGACTGAGATGTTCAACGTCCAGATGTCATAGTTAACCGCGGTTACCATAGATTAAAATTTAACTTTTGTTCCTATCTACACAGTATGAACTTATGGTATCATGAAGTCTTGCAGTTGTGTGCTTGGGTTGGGATTTAATTTTATTTATTATAGGATCCCAAGCAGATGGTAGCACCCAGCCATCTTCTCTATTGAAATTAGGATGTTTTTTGAGTGTCCGATCGAATAGTGGTTTGCGACATCTGAAAGGGCCTTGCTGAACTTAGGTTTTTTGTGAATTTAGACCAATTCAGCGCGGTAGATTCTGAGAAATCCTTAAAAAATCGAGTCTTATTAATTTTCACAGTGGTTTTTTTTAATTACTTCGACACCCTTATTTAGATAAATTTCATAATCTAATCAACTCTTTTACTTAAAAAATTACGTTGTTTGCTGTGAACCGCATCAAAATCGGTGGTTTGAAAGATATCGTTGCCGAAAGCAATCTCGAAAATTTTTTTACAAGATAACTTGAAAAATTTTCGGTCAATCAATTTTATTGTGATAAATTACTTTACGGCCAACGCATCTTATTGGACGCGCAAGTGATGCCACTTATCTGATCTCCTATTGGTGTGCCCGTGCCGGAAGTGAGATGGAGTGATGGGAAATGATACCAGCTAATATAATCTACAAATTTGCGTTTGGAAAACTGGAAAAATGGAAAATCTGCATCGATTGCCGCAAACCGCATCATAATCAAAAAGTTCGAAAAAACTCGAAGAGCTCCCAAACGTTGTAGCAGGTAAAATTTAAAGAGCTTTGCATTCGAAATTAGAGAAAAGTTCTGCAACTTCCCGCTAAATTATCACATGGCCTGTAGAATCAACCGTATTTTTTACATATAATCTGCAATACCTAATCCTTGGAATGGCTAAACCGATTGAAATAAAACTTTTTGAACAGATAAATAGCAATTTCTGGTGTGATCTAGACTGTGTTTGATATGACCCTCACAGAAATGAGGGGACGCCTGCGCCCAGCAGTGGAACGTATATAGGCTGTAACTTTACTTTACTTCATAAGATGAAATGCCACAAATAAATGGTAATACCAAATTCGAGGGACTACTAGGCAAAAAAGGAGTTTTACTTTCTATTATTTTTATTAACTTAGAGTTCTGTTTATCCTTTTTTTGTTGAGTCAACAATCGGTAAAATTGGTCCAGACCAGCTGAAGAGCTAGCTTGCGACTTGTTTTGTCTCTCTTCAATGGCAGGATTTGATAAGCTTAATCGTCACAAAAATGGTCAGGACAGACCACTGCTCCAACTACTTGAAAGCGAGAAAACGGTATACACAGAAAAACAGTGGTTGTGGTTTGAGACGCAAAATGCTGTGTGCGATCAATTTTCGTCTAATACTATTTAATAACCGGTTAAAACTGCATGTCTGAGAAAAAAATATTTCGAAGACATGTTAACTTTGCCAATATGCGTTGGAGCAGCGCGGCGAACATGTTCTTGCTCTAAAACCCTCTCAGAAATGAGAGAAAACCTGTACCCAGCAGCGGGACGTATATAGGTTGTAACTTTAGCCCGTTAAAATGGAAAATATTATATGAATGATATTGGCTTGTAATTATGTGGCAAAATAAGGATTTTATTTATTTTTTCTTGCTCTAATCTATCTATTTTTCTTTCTATCTTGCTGCTATTTTTTCGTATCAAAGTTCCAGACGTCTCTATTTTAACTTCAGAGTTTTATCGTCATTTATCGAAACTAGAGATCTTTCTAGCACTTACCACAGTCACCTCTTATAACATTAAAATAATAAAACGGCATTATGGAATTTCTTACGTCATCACACACCATTTTCATATGTGCATTTTTTTTTCAAATTATAATTTTTATCTAGAAGTTGGCGTTAACCATTGAATTTCCACACATTAAACTTCACTTCAGTTCTTTTATACAAATAACATGATTCAATTCATTAAAAAATAAGCAAAAAGATACTCTAATAAAAACAATGCAAATAACATACCCTGATATTCGTGTTTTCTGACAAAAAACACAGATAACGGTTTAAGGTTTCCGTGCGATTTTTTATCGAAATAAAAACAACTCACGTGTTTTAATGACTAGATAAATAAAAAAAAGACAAAAGAACTTGTTTGTGCCGACGAATTTGTCGAATGACCAACAGAGACTAAATTACTCGTCGATAGTGGAAGCTGACACTTAACATGTGATTATACGCTGTGCGGTCACAGAGTAGACAAACACAGTGCTCATCTATACATAAATTTGAATAAAATTTAAGTGTATGTCAGCAGTGTCGAAAAAACTGCCTTATATCGAGTTAAGGGGTTTATTTTCAAGCCATTAAGACATGAATAACAATTTTTAAAATTGTTGTCTGTCTGTATGTCCGGGCTAATCTTTGAAATGGCTGATTTTTTTTTAATACGCGTAAAATTGAAAATCTTAAACTTTAATTACCTTAATATTAATAGATAATATATATATATATATATATATATATATATATATATATATATATATATAAAATAGATAACAATAACATTAATAGATAGATACTACTCACGCGAAGCCGAGGCAGGTCGCTAGTAACATAACATAATTTATTAAAATTTAACATTTTTTATGGCAATGATATTGTCAGAAATACGTAAGAGGGTACTACGAACTAAAGCAGATTCCTAGGCCTAAAGTGGACTTACTACCTGGTAAGAAACCTTAAAAAAGAAGTTGCAAGCTCTCATCTTAGGAAAATGTACATAGTTCGCCCTCTAACTTGAGTTTCAGTGATGAGAACTGCGAGTTTGACGAATCAAGTAATAGCTTGTACGTGAGTATGACCTACAAATAATTGTTTCGGGTCGGGCTGTTTGTCCTTGTGAAATTATATTTGTAAACTGCCTCCACGATACATGAAAAACCCTAGTCTTTGCTGAAATTATGTAAGCTAGTTTGTTAATTTATGTTAGCTAAAGTTTAACAAAAATGCAAGGCTCCAAAGCGCATTGACTTGTGACGGTAAGGTCAAAGCCGTGGGTTCAAATCGGAAACCGCACAGAACAATTATTTGTACAGCCTACAAATTGTGGAGGCATACCGAACCTGGAATCTTCAACGCGCCGTAATGAGAGAGCATTACTCACTGAACCTATGGCGCGACCATATCTAGGTAAAGGGCAAGCGGCCACGCCTCGATCAGTTTGCGCGCGAGCGGGTTCGGCTCGTTAATCCGTAGCTGCATCCGACACAGAACGCACGCCACTCTTGCGCAGGTCCGGCCTAACGCTTTCGCTCGCTTAAATTGTAGTCTCATTGTGTATATTAAGGTCTGTTTAGATACTATCTTTTGTTCTGTACTAACTCTTCCCTTCTTTTGCTGTCACTGTATAGGCTATCCGCCTTTCTAAATTCTCTTTGTGCTTGTGGACAATAAACGTTTTATGTGTTATATGTGATGATTTTTATTTACATACATCCCTACACTGGTGACCCGCGTTTGAACATAAACAGTTTAAAAAAGTGTACATTGGACTTAAAAAGTGTGACCATGTCAAAATCAACATCACAAGATGGCGGTTGGTTGGTTAGTAGCTCGGCTTCAACTGACACTTTTCGTGTCGGCGTTCGCATACCTCCTTTTTGGGCTGAGGAACCAGCCGTTTGGTTCGCACAAGTGGAAGTACATTTTTCGTTGTCCGGTATATCTGATGACAAAACCAAATTTTAATATGTCATATCTCAACTGGATCACCGTTACGCAGCAGAAGTAAAGGATATAATTGTATCACCTCCAACTACAGGAAAGTATGAATACCTTAAAAGAGAGCTCATTAAAAGGTTATCGATGTCAAGAGAGAGGGAAGTTAAGCAGTTGTTAACACATGAAGAACTAGGTGATCGTCGCCCATCCCAGTTCTTAAGACACTTGCGTCATCTAGCAGGGTTTCAGGTACCGGACGAGTTTTTAAAAACCCTCTGGATGAGTCGCCTCCCTACACACGTACAGACCGCAATAGCATCACAACCGCGAGCGGATTTAAATAGCTTAGCTGAATTAGCAGATGCCGTGAGCGATAATGTTTCCTCTACGCCACAAATCGCAGCCACAGCTGGAGCAATTGGATCGCAGATTGACGAAATGTCTAGAGAAATTGCGCAACTTACCAGGCAAGTAGAAGCACTTACTTTAAATAAAAATAGATCACGCTCGCGTTCCAAAAGTAGAAGCAGTCGCCGACAGCACAGCCAAACCCGATCGAATTCCAACTACAGGCGTTTCCCTAAATGTTGGTATCATTGGAAGTACGGAGACTCTGCAAACCATTGCGTCAAGCCATGTGACCATGTGTCGGAAAAGTTAAAGGGCAGTCGTTGTTAATGGCGACATATGGCAGCCCTTCACAGCCAAGTTGCCTCTTTGTTACAGATCGTAGAAGTAAAATGCAATTATTAGTCGACACTGGGAGCGACATTTGTGATTTTCCTAAAACGGCACTCAAACGAAGGCAACCAAAGACGGGCTACCAACTTTTCGCAGCCAACGGTACTAGCATAGCTACTTACGGTTATGCACATCTGGAGCTGGACTTGGGATTGCGTCGCGAATTCTCCTGGTGCTTCGTCGTGGCTGACGTTACGAAACCCATCATCGGAGTAGAGTTTTTATCGCATTTTAACTTAATAGTCGACGTTCGACATCAACGGCTGATTGATAATACAACAATATTAATCACCACCGCAACAACAGCATCTTCGCCTGCCATTATTCCTTCAGTGAAGACCATGACAGGTGACACTAAATACCATGACATACTTAGAGATTATCCAGAGATAACACGACCATCTGGTACTCAGCAAGTTCCCGCACATACTACCGTTCATCACATCGGAACTACACCGGGTCAATCCGTCTTTTGTAATCCAAGACGGTTAGCACCCGATAAGTTAAAAATAACAAAATAGGAATTTGCAGCCATGATAAAGTGCGGTACAGCAAGACCATCTGACAGCCCGTGGTCGTCTCCACTCCACCTAGCTCCAAAGAAGGATAACGGATGGCGACCATGCGGAGACTACCGTATGTTCAATGTAAGCAAAATACCAGACAGATACCCAATACCTCATATCCATGATTTTGCACATTCCCGCATCTTCTCCACCATAGATCTGGTAAAAGCTTACAACCAAATAAGGGTTGCTGAAGAAGATATATTATGTAAAACGGCAATATCAACACCCTTTGGACTATATTAGTTCCCGTTCACTACGTACGGCCTCCGAAACTCTGACCAGACGTTCCAAAGGTTTGTCGATGAAATGACAGGAGACCTGGAATTTTGTTATGCTTACCTGGACGACTTCCTAGTGTTCTCGCCAGACGAAGAAACTCATAAGAGACACCTGCACCAAATATTTGATAGACTCAAGAAATACGGAATGGTAATAAACACGAACAAATGCGTATTTGGGGCAACTCAAGTAACCTTTCTGGGCTACACTGTCTCAATGCATGGTGTGAAGCCACTGGACTCAAAGGTCGAAGCTATCCAGAGCTTTCCCATACCGAAAAACGTAAAAGAGCTTAGACGCTTCCTAGGGATGATTAATTTCTACCGGCGGTTCATCCCAGGTGCTGCTAAAATCCAAGCACTTTTACATGCACTCCTGACGGGAACAGTCAAGGGATCGTATCGAATCGTCCTTTCTGATGACAACCTTGAGGCTTTTAACAAGTGCAAACAAAGTCTCTGCCAAGCAGCATTACTAGCACACCCAGACCTGCAAGCACGTCTAGCACTAGTCACAGACGCCTAAGACTCGGCTATTGGAGCGGCGTTGCAACAAAGAAAGGATGGCAATTGGCAACCTCTCGCATTTTTTTCGAGTAAGCTAAGTCCTGCACAAAAAAAATATTCCCCATACGATCGAGAACTACTGGCGATATACGAGTCAATAAAATATTTTCGTTACATGTTAGAAGCGAGACACTTTACAGTGTATACGGATCACAAACCGCTATGCTTTGCTTTCCACACAAGAAAAGAGAATTGTACTCTCAGGCAATTTAGACACCTGGATTACATTTCACAATTTACGACGGACATACAGCATATAGCAGGAAAAGACAACATAGTAGCCGATACACTTTCACGAGTCGAAGACATAACTCAAGGAGTCACCTTAACTTTGCTTGCCAAATCAGAAGAGTGCGACCCAGAGTTGAAAGAACTGCTCAGAGGAGAAACCTCTTTGGTACTAAAAAAATATCAATACCTGGAACAGATAACTACCTGTATTGCGACGTTAGTACAGAGAAAGTACGACTATACGTACCCAGAGACTTAAGACACCGCGTTTAAGAAGGCCTGCATGCCCTTAGCCACCCTGGCACACGTCACAACGTTATGTTTGGCCGAGCGTTCGCAAAGACTGTCGAGATTGTACAAAGACATGTCATACTTGTCAGCGTGCGAAAATAACTAGGCATGTCTCTTCACCAATAGGCACATTCGTCATCCCACAGGCCAGATTTATGCAAGTCCATATAGACTTAGTTGGACTACTACCACCATCTCATTGAAAAAGGTACTGCTTTACGGCAATTGACAGATTTACTCGATGGCCGGAAGCAATACCTATTGAGGACATAACAGCTGAAACGGTCGCGAAAGCCTTTTTTATCTGGATGGATTGCACGATTCGGATGTCCCATCGAAGTTGTGGCCGATAGAGGAAGACAATTCGAATCAGCACTATTTAAATATCTGGCAGAAATATCTGGCTTCCAACACTAGCGCACAATAGCCTATCACCCGGCATGTAACGGCATGATAGAGAGATTTCACCAACAGTTGAAAGCAGCCATTATATGCCACGGAAATGAAAGCTAGACTGAGTCACTCCCGCTCGTCTTGTTGGGTATACGATGCGCCCACAAAGAAGACCTCGAAGCAACATCCGCCGACTTATTATACGGCGAAACGCTCAGAATACCCGGAGAAATATTCAATGCAAATACGAAAACAA